GTGGGAAGACACAGGACAAGACAGATCTACTGAAGGGATGGGGAGGATATTAAAGACATATCTGGACACAATGAAGCCATTTAGGGGAGAGGCAAGGATAATGACCTTTGGTGGAATACATAGAAAATAGAAATGCAAGCAACATATTTTGGCTCAGAATCCAGAGACCTAAACAAGCATGTCTTTATTGAATATATAATGTATTTGTGGTAAACACATATCAATTTTACTTTAATTGGCTTAAAAGTTACGTTTTATTATGTAAATCTTGATTAATAAAAAGAAATTTTCATGGTTGGCATAGCAAAGAAATGTGAATGTCCTTAACAACTGGGAAAATTCAGAGAAGAATCTTTTTTTTTTTTTTTTACTGAAGTATCTTGAGGGGAAAAATACTCTTTGTACCCCTTCCCTGGATCACACACTCATAATCTTTATAACATGAGTTCCTGAAGGTGGAGGTCATGCGCTCTTTATCCTTGTGTGCTTAGTGGGTCACAGAGTGCCTAGCTTATAATCTATGTTCAGTAAGCTGAATTAAAGGAGAGAGGATGCAGAAGATCAAAGGCAAAATAAGAAGCCAAGAAGGCAGCAAAGCAGAGCAAGCGGGGAAGAAAGATCTCATTTTCATCTGTGCTTCCCCTCGTCCCTTTCCAGCATTTTACTGTAGTTCCCTGGCACGGCTCCCATTCTCCAGCCAACCAGGGAAGGGAGATGGCAGAATGATATTGCTCGTGGGACTTTGCTCTGCTCTTTGATTCTGCTGCCCGTGGGGCAGGTGCATTTTCTAAATCACACACTAAAGTGACAGGTCATTTCTAGCCACCCTGGCCCCACCTGGCAAATGAAGCCTTGATTGCCAATAGACATTTCAGAGCTAAGCTAGGAGCATGGGTCCTGGTGAAAGTGGAAAACAGATGCTCTTGCCAGAAGTGCACTCTGCTGGGAGCTAGGGGAGTCCCAGTATCCAGGAACCTGCTGCCTGGCCAGAAGTGATGAGGGTTTTGGGTCTCAGGTGGCTGCTTTCTGAGACCCTGTTAACATTTCCATGACGTATCCGTCTCTGAACTCATTTCCTCATTTGCAAGAGGAAATGGTGCCACCTACTGGGAGGGAGGTGTTGAACACCAAGTGATGCCTGGCACTTGTGAGCACTCAGGGCAGAGCAGCATCACACCTGCCATTGTCATGGTGCCTCAGTGACTTCATCTGGGAAACAGAGCTGCACTTATTTTACACTAATATGCCAAGGATCAAGGCTCTTAGCAAAGGATGCAGGGAGTTTACAGTAAAGGAACTTCAATGTCCTAAAGCCAACCATGCACAACTCAGGTTGAAGGCACAGGCATTGGATCTTGGTTTCTGAAAGACAGGTGATGAAAGTCTCTCAGCAAATGCTGTGGGCTTGATTAAGACTTGTGTTCTGAGCACCAGCACCTGTGACTGCCTAGTCTCACACCAATAAGGAGAGGGGCGGGAGTGGAGCTTAGTGGTCTATCACATGCATAAGGGCCCGAGTTCAATCCCTGGAACTCCAAAGAAACATAGGAAAGACTTCTCCTATGATGTTGCATGTGGGCTTTAAATCTGGCCCCATGTGCATGAACATGGTTTTTTAAAAAGTAATGATTTGAATTAAGACAGAAGCTATGCATATTGAATTTGGAAGTCACCCCAAAACTAGGACAAAAGTAAAAACAGCAAAATTTCCACAAGATGAAAAAATGGGCCAAAACCACCACACAATTCAGTGAGTAAAAATGTAAAAGCTTATACTTGATTTAAAGAAAAAAAATAAAAGAACATTAGTGGAAAGCACAGGACTGAGGAAACGGGCATAAAATTCGCATCTTAAAGAAAACTACATTAAAAAATAAATCAAGTGAATCACTAGTGCCATGTGGCTGCCAAAAAATCAAAGGCAATCTTGGGCTGCATTAATAAAAGAGTAGTGCACAGAAAAAGACGAGAAACACTCTCAACACACTTAACGTCTACTCAAACAGGAGCCTTGCTAGGCAGAACATACAAGAATAATGGAGCGTCTGAAAGGCCACATGGTCTGAGAAACAGGTTAATAAAATGGAGATGGAAGATAAAGAACATAGTTAGATTGAAAAAAATTTAGGAAGTACTTACTTTCTATCTTTAAGTGAAAAGAAAAGCTCTCTTATAGGAAATGTCCTAGACCCATTTGTGCAGGACCATAGGGATAAACATTAAAAGGACACCTTAAAAATAAGCTTTGAGGGCTGAGGAACTGGCTCAAGTGGTAGAGCGCCTCTCCAGCAAGTGTGAGGTCCTGAGTTCAAACCCCAGTACATCGCCCCCAAAAGGTGAATTTTGAAAGGAGATATATTTCAGTTCAGTAGCAGAAGAGACTCATGGTCACAAGATGGTTGCTACAGCTCCATGAGCTACAACCATAATTAGGACAAGAAGTGAGAGGATGGCATCACAAAGCTCTGTTTTTTTTATTTTATTTGCTTCTTTTATCAGGAAGCAAACTATTAATATCTTTTCAAGACACTCCCTGCAGACTTTCTTTTTTTTTGAGACAGAGTCTCAATACACACCCCAGGCTGGCCTCAAATTCGTGATCCTCTTGCCTCAGCCTCCCAAGTGCTAGGATTACAGGCATGCACCACCATGCCCAGCTGACTTGTTTTATTCTGTTGGCTAGAACTGAATCCTGTGGCTACCCTAGCTAGAAAGGAGGCTGACCTGAGAAAAGTGACAATGGGGCAGTGAGACAAGCTTAAATCAATTTTGATCAGATCAAAAGTGCCAATACCCTAATAACAATGGAGTGAAAAAATGGAAAGAGCTTGGGTGTCTGATGACCTTACTGAGCTGCTGGTGGCCAACTTCTGGTCTTTAGGGGGAGGGAAGATAACTGTGTGTTTAATTAAGCCATTGCTAGTGGGATTTTCTGGTACTTGCAGCCAAATGCATGCTAATGGATGCAGAGGCACTGTTTATGAAGGTACTCTCAAATACTTCCAATCTGACTATTTGTAGTTCCTTTTCATTCCACCAATATTCATTTAGTGTCCACTGTGTTCCACTTACTGGTGGAATTCTGAGGATGTAATGGTGAGCAAAACCAAGCAAAGTCATTGCCCTCATGGAATTTGAGGGCACCAGTGGGGAAGATAGGCACCCTGAAACAACCCACAGAGAAGCACAGATACCTAGCACGGTGTTCCGTGAAGAAGCGTGCATGGTGCTATAAGCGCATATGACAGAGGTACTGCCCTGGTGGCAGAGTCAGGGAAATCTTTCCTGAGCAGTGAGCAACACCTCAGATCTGAGCATGCATAGTCAGACCTCTCTGTGCTCAGAATGGCCTCCCTTGCCCACATCCATTGACTTACCTACTGCCTCATTTTGACACTTCACCATCCCAGTTATCGTCAGTATCCAGGACATCCTTCTGACCTTTCCCCTAACAGTGACCCATTCCTTCTTTAAGACCCACTGGATATCCTCTTATTCTGCCTTACAATCTGACTGTATGTTTCCAGACCCTTCTCACACCCACCCCGCCTCCTGTACCATGGCATATTTATCTCATCTTCTTAGGAAACATATACCAACCTAGACTGTTGCCTTGTACTCTGTCAACATTCAAATTTATTTTATTGGACTTTAAAACTACATTTTAAAGACATGACCCCATCTAGTTTCAGAGAAGATTTGACAGCTTACATAGAACGGTGTATGTGTGTGTGAGTGTGTGACACTCCCTCAAACTCAAGACACCCAGAAACTTGAAAAAGCTGAGTTTAAAAAAACCTGAGTTTAAAAAACTATTAAACTAGTATTAATGATTTTTATTGGAACTAGAGGGGTGTAGAAGGCTTATCTAGCTTGTGTGAGACCCTGGGTTTGATCCCCATGATTGCAGCAATATTAATAATGGTTTATTAATATACTTTCGTCAACTATTAGCATGTATCTGGGCTGAAGTCTCCTTAGTTTGTTACCTAGATTATTACAGCCTTGCATAAGGTGCAAGGTGCTTGAACTTCTCAAGAATGTTGAATATCTTCTACGTTTTAAAGTGACCTCTTTCAGAATGTTCACGAAAACAGTTGTCATGGAAGGTACAATACTCTTCCTTAAATTCACACATTGTTAATCTTCATCTTGGGCTTATAAAAGGGACACTAATAAAAGGACCCAGTAACCTAATCGCACACTGTTGAAAGTAGACACTCTCTAGAGATCTGGGAAGAGAGGACTGGCGACCACGAAGACAGTAAAGGGCGTTCCCTTTAGCAATTATTTGATTCTCACAAGTAACTTTCTCCTAGGGGACAAAGTCAGACAGTCCCAGTTCTTGCTTTTAACATTCACCCAACTCAGGACACAAGCCAGCTGAGTTCAATAGTTATCCTCTGGGTGGAGGTATTACTCGATTCTCAAGTTGTAGCAGGCAAGCGAACTGCCAATGGCGCTAAGTTCAAAGCCGCTGGAGATCACGCCAGAGTCAAGTTCGGGAAGAAGCAACGCGAGGAGCAAACGCGCGTGGTCCCGAGCTCCAGGTGCAGCAAGAAGCGACCTCTGAGCCTCCGCCTTGGCTCTGCTTAAGAGGAAACTCGCTCCTCTCGGCGAGAATGGGCACCAGGGACCCCCAAACTTCGGAGACCCCGCCCGAAGTAACTTCTGTCCCCTCCTCACCTCCGATCAGATGCAAGGGCAGCTGCGCCCTCGCGACATCGCCCCCGCCCGCGTGCGCCGCAGCTGAGCCCGGGAGGGGCGGGGTCGGCCGAGCGCCCCTCCGCCCGCGTCCCGGGCGCTTCCCGGTCCTCCTCCTCCTCCGCGCCGTCACTGGCTGCATCTCCGCGGCCCCGGCACAATAGAGGCTCCGCCCTCCCTCCGCGCCAGCGCTCCGCCGCGCCCTCGCCATCGCCCAGCGCCCTCGCCTCCCGCGCCGCCCCGCGCCCGGTCCCCGTGCGCCCCGCGGCTGCCCGCTGTCCGCCTGGACGCCTGCCTTCCACCTGAGCCCACTCCAACCGCGACGCGCTCGGCGACGCCTCCACCGCCGTCACCTCCTCTTCGCCGCGCCGGCTCTTCGCTCTTGAGAGCCGTGTGTGGGGAAGGAGATGCCCAGGGTCTCTGGGGCGCACCTTCCTGCTCCGCTCAGCCGCACCCAGCTTTAGAAGGCGCTCGGAGCAGCCACTCTCAGGCCCCAATCAAGGCGCCCTCTAAGCCTCAGTCTTTGCTGAGACACCCCCCTCCTCGCCCAGCCGGTCTCTCTTCTTAGGGGCGAAGGTCCCTGTTGTCGCATCCCTCATGGCCAACCCCCTGCCGTTACTTCTCTGCTTTGCTCTGGTTGTGGCACGGGTCCGGGGATCCAGCACTCCTCCCACAGGAACAAGCGAGCCCCCTGATGTGCAGACGGTGGCACCCACAGAAGATGAGACTCTGCAAAATGAGGCGGACAATCAGGAGAACGTTTTATCTCAGGTAGGGTGGCCAGTCTTAGGCCCTCCCCTCCTGCCCTGGAGGGTGGCAAGGGCCAGAGGCTGGTCCCGGGTGAAGTGTTTGGGGGCAGCTGTTTTTTCTGTCCATTCCCAGTTGGAAGGGTATTTACTTTTCGTTTATCAAGAGTATGTTCTTAATGGGAAGGTAATGGGTCTGTTTTCAAGATCATGGGGTCTTTCAAGGTTACCAAGTCAGAGGAAAGGGAAGCCTCCACACAGCCCCTGAGAAGAAAAAAATAATGTGTTTTGGTTTGTGAAAAGTACATCCTGTCTCTGAGGCTGTTTGTCAGAATTGGAATGTGTACAGATGAGGCTTTAGTGGGCAGAACACAGATGGCATAACCCACGGGAGATGTTGTATGGCTTTAGGTGAGACTCCCAGGTAGACACATGAGTGATGCAGGTATGGGGAGCTCAGCACAGAGTGATTGATGACAAGACCCTGTATATTGGGAGGGTAGAGTAGAAATACACACAGGTTTGGCTGACTATCTGTGAGGGCTGAGTGACAAATGATAGTCATGGGCTTTGTAACAGTGTCCATTTCCCAATCTGACTCAATGCTTAAACACACCCTGAGTGCCTTTCATATAGACTAGGACTATAAACTAAAGGGTGATGGAGCAAGGAGAACCAAGCCTTATGAAAGTCTTCGCTCAGCTCTCAGGACTGTGAGGGCTACTCATCTCGGGAGTGATGATTTCATGCTCTACAGAGCTGGCATGATGATGTGCAGTGGTTGTCACCGTGATCCTCAGGGCTAGAGATGTCAGTGAAAGGATCGGAGAGCATTGCCTGAACCTCCACTAGGCCCTAGGACTGGGTCTTGTCTCCTTCCTGCAGAGAGCCATCAGCTCTACTGTGGGATTTATCAAACACTAGTCTTAATAATTATGCTAAATTATGCCTTATGCCCACCCATAGCCTTGTACTAACCCCTAAATCCAAAAGACAAAAATCCCTCACATCAGGGCTCTGGCATACCATACCGTCAACAAAAGCTTTCCTGAAACCTGAGCCTCCTGAAAGGAAAGAACCCACCCAGGGTTCTCCGAGCAGGATTGCGTAGGAATCTAGGCAGAGTTTCAGGAAGTAGACAGCCACGATTTACTGTCAGCACAGAGAGACCAGCTGCTTAAGTCACCCTGAACTACATCTCCACTGATCCGGCCCATATTTGACAACAGCTCTAAAGCAAATGTTAGTATTAGAAGAAACCCAGCCTTTGTAAGGAAAACATTACATGTCTTCTTCCTCCAAGACAGCATCCCAAGGACCATTTGCATCAAATAAGCTCCCATGCCTGCCTGCTGGGACTATTATCAAATGAAGGGAACCCTTCTGGCTGGTTAGGAAAGGAGCCTTGGCTTTGGGAACCTGGGGTCTGTTGGAAGGAGCTGGCAGGGATGGTGGCTTTTTTCCCAGCAAGTGCCCAGAGTGGGGGCTGTAGAAAGCCTGCTGTTGCATGCTTTCCAGAGTGGGGAGGCTGGCAGGAGCAAGTGCCCAGAAGGAAATGTTTAGCATTGTAGAAGCAGCAAGCATGGCCAGTTTGGGCTCCTGGGTTTGAGTTCAGAAACTGTTGTAGGAGCTAAAGGAAGCCTTAGGCTAAGTAAACCCTACTGACTTCTGGACCTGTCTTTTTCTAGCCAACAGCCTTGCTCCAAGATTCAGGTCAAATACCACTTCCTCCAAGAAATCCTCCCTGGCTCCCAGCTGGGGTCACTCTCGGAACCCAGTGCATCTTATCCTTGCTCTTCAGGGACGCTTATCACTGTCTAGTTTGTATGACTCATTTATTTGCCTCCTGTACTGTGGCCCCCTTGGGGCAGGCTTCTGTCTAGCCCATCACTACCTCTCAATGCTCCTCCCACAGTTCCTAGGAGGTACTCATACCTGTCAAATGAATGAGGAATGGAAGAATGAGGAGAGAAGCCTTATAGTCCTAAAACTAAAGACCGCTTTCCCAATCCCTCCTTCAACTCCCTCTCCTTTTCAAATCTAACCACGGGTTCTAGCTGAGGGCAGGGGCTATTGAAAGAGTGATGGACTCCTTTGTTGTTTTTTTCTTTTAAATGATGAAAGGCTAAGGCCCCCCGAGAAATACACAGCTTTCCAAGACAAACGAAGAGAGCTAAACTCTGAGTGCCTTAAAGGAAATGCCCAAGTCAGCAAATTGTGTTGCGATGATCTACTCCCTCCATAGTTCAAGATTTCTGAGGTCTCTGGCTAGAGCAGAACATTTGACAAAGTGAATAGACAGCCTCCTTGACAAGCCTGACTGACACCTGTATTCACATGTCCCCAACTCTTTCTGTGTGTGTCTAGCTGCTGGGGGACTATGACAAAGTCAAGGCTGTGTCTGAGGGCTCAGACTGTCAGTGCAAGTGTGTGGTGAGACCCTTGGGCCGAGATGCCTGTCAGAGGATCAATGAGGGGGCCTCCAGAAAGGAAGACTTCTACACTGTGGAAACTATCACCTCGGGATCATCCTGCAAGTGTGCCTGTGTTGCTCCCCCATCTGCTCTCAATCCCTGTGAAGGAGACTTCAGGCTCCAGAAACTGCGGGAAGCAGACAGCCGGGACTTGAAGGTAGGGTCTAGTGTGGGGCAGTTCTGTGGGTAAGAAGGCCCTTTGGGAACTCACAAGCCCACAGGCTGTAGCTGGGGTCAGAAGACTTTTGAAGGAGGTCAGCCCTGGTCCCTAGAGTCTTGTGTATGGATCTGAGGCTGAAATTCTGACAAACTAGTCGCTTTCAGATCTGGAGTCTGAGGATGATGTGAAAAAGTATGCCTGCCCCTCCTTGTGGAGCCAGGGAGGCCAGGCCTGGGAGCTGTTGCCAGCCTCTGTTGGCCAAAAGAGCTTAGTGTTCTCCAGGAAAACTGTTGTCACAATTTACTGTCAGCCCAGCATGTATGTCGAAGAGGTAAGAGACAGAGGAGTGAGCCTTTCAGTCCCCAGCACCCATGCTGGGAAGACCCAGGGAAGGGAGGCCAGGGGTCTGCCCTGGTGGGGTCATCGAACTGGGCATGTGATCATATGCCATAGGCTGGGGAAGCTGAGGCCCTCCTCAGGCAGCCCCATGGCTGAGGGCTTCATCGCATCCTACCCTCCCTGCTTCACTTGTACCATGGAGTGGTGGACTGAAGTTGGTTCTGGAGCCAGACAGACTCGGGTTTAAGTAATTCTGCATGAATGCTGCTTATGTTATTTCACTTGTCTACCTCATTCTCCTTGGATAAAGCGTGGGTATATTACCTACTTTGAAGGACTGGGAGAATTGGTGAGGTAACAGCTCTCAATCACTTGGCACAAGCCTGGCTGTAAGTGAATGAAGGAAGGCCATGTGAGTGAAGTGCTCCTGTTGGGCCTAGCACCAGGTATTCAGTCACACAGTGACTGGTAGTCATTGGTAGAATAGGGTTTACCAGTATAGGGATTGTACCAGGGCTTGACTATATTGCTCAGAGCTGCAGCTCTGTCATCAAACTACTTTCTGAACCAAGTGCCACAGTCACTCATTTCTAGGATCGGAGACTTCTGGAACCACACCAGGCAGAATTTCTATTAGGAATCAGAAACTCACCACAATACATAATGAGCAGCTATGGCTGTTACCTGGATTCATCTGTCTTCCCTGGTGTGGAAGGGAGCTCTTTCAGTTATGAGTATTTCTGCCGGGAATTCATCCGGCAGCAAGGCTGGGAGACAAGTGGGGTTACAGACATTGCAAAAATGAAACCCAGCAGACAATCCCAGGGACTGGCCCTCAGCAGGAAGGCCACATTTCAGCATCTGTCATCTGGCCCTTTACCTGCTCTTTGCATAACCTGTATGCTGCCAGAGCCTCAGCCACCCTCTTCCCAGTGGCTCTGTACTGGCAGGGGGGGCAGTATTAAAAAATACTGACAAGGTTGGGTGCCCTGTGGCAGGTTATCACCTCAAACATGGGCCACTGGCCTCTCACACTCCAGGATCAGTTTAGCTTTTGGTGTGAAGGAAAGGGCTGTTGGTGCCTTTTAGGGCCTTTAACTGGGCAATGAAGTTGAGATTTCAGAATCATACCTTCAAGGTATTGACAATTCTAGCCATTTGACTGAGTGTTTATTGATTCCCCGCTATGGTCAGGAATCATGAAGAAACATGAAGAGGCTTGCAGTCTAGCAGGAAGTTAGAAGTACAGGCAACTGACAGGTTAATGGAGCCACAGTTTGTGAAGTTAAGATTACTTGTTCTTGTAGTTTAGTTTACTTATGTTCTTACTCAGATATTTCAGAGGCAGAATACACATATACCATCAGGCTTGCCTATGTCCCCCAGTGCACAAATGTGTTTCTGAGGGCCATGTCTCAATTCCCGGCTAGTGGCTTCCTTTTGAACCTCCAACAAGGAGATCTGAAAGGAAACTTCTCTCCTGGCATTTTGTCTGCCCCAGCCCTGGACTAACCCCTTGCTCTGTTTCTTAGCTCTCTACTATCATAGACATGCTGGAAGGAGCGTTCTATGGCCTGGATCTCCTGAAGCTGCATTCAGTCACCACCAAACTGGTGGGTCGAGTGGTTAAACTGGAGGAGGTAAGGAAGATTCTGGTCTCCCTATCTGTTTCTTGATCAAGCCCAAAAGTGTAGCAAACTTCTTAATATTTTTTAGAAAATTTATGCCCTAACTAGACTTAACCCATTCTATTATTTTGGAAAGGAAAAACACATAAAATCTTCATCCAAAATCATACTAATTGCTGGTAGTAATCAGTAATATAATATAATATAATATAAATACCTTCTTATTTTCATTTATAAGAATCATGCAATCAATGTATTTTTATTTTTACCTTTAGTTTCAGGAAAGTCGGTGCTAAATGAAATGTAAAAATACAATAAGCATCTTACCTCTGGTTTTAAGTGGAGTCATGTCCCTTCTGGGCATATATAGTTGTTAATTCATTTTTTCCTTCCTTCATCCTTTCCTCCCGCCCTCCCTCTCTCCCTTTCTCCCTTCCTTCTTTCCTTCTTTTGTGATACTGGGCTTTAAACCCAGGGCCTGTGTGCTATGTACTAGGAAGCAAGAGCATCTGCCACTAAGCTATACCTCCAGCCCTGATTGCTAATTTCTTGTTCTAGTTTGGCTTTTAGTTTGTGTGTGTATGTGTGTGTGTATCCATCTCATCCATTTTAGAAAAAAGACAAAAGTGATCACTAATACATAATGTTCTCTACTGGACATTTAGGGTGCTCATGATCAGAAGGAATGGACTTACAGTGTCATTTTTATAGACAAAGATGTTACGTATGCATAACTGGTGCTGTGGTTTTCATCTGGTAGTGTATGAAGTGATGGCGGGAGTTAGGAGTGGTTGTAAACATAATAATAATGTTGACATTGTTTTGTTGCTATTATGAAACAAAATGTAAATAAGAAATAATTCAGTCACCAGAAAAGTAATGATCATCATAGAACCCTATCGATAAGAAGCTTAATGATACGTTATTGTCTGATATCTGGGTCTTGGACTGATTCTTGAAAACAGCTGCTCTTCAAGTACTAATCTATTTCTTTAATTTTTAGAGTGCTACGCTAAGTGGTAAATTTAGTACTGTAATGACTATAAACATATCACTATTCCTCATGAAAAAATGGGCTTTTGAAGGTCTATCATGCAGGAGCTGAGGTTCTCTATTGTGTACATGTAGGGCGTGAAAAGAGTAAGAAGCTCTAGTTTGTGGCAGAAAGAGTATCAGATGGAGTCACAAAAGAGTGAATTATTCTTTGTATGCTATCACCGCACTGTCATGTCTTTCTTTCTCTACCTGAGAATATGAATGGTGGTGTACCTACTTTCAGTGATTGCTGAGTGAATAAAAGGTTCACTAATTGTTGTGAAACTACTTCAAGGTGATTAAATTAAACATGGCACTAGGTTGTGACCAAACAGATTAGGGCAAACATTCCCATGGTGCTCTGCCAAGAGAGCTGAGACAAAGATGATGAAACATTGCAGTCACGAGGATTGGTTCCAGCATGCTCTTATACTCCTAAAAATGTACCCAGAAATCAGCATTCTGGCACACACCTGTAATCCCAGTACTTAAGAGACTGAGGATCAAAGGTTCAATGCTATCCCGAGCTACACAGCAAAAAAAAATGTTCCCAGAAAGTGAACCCCAGCTCCTTCTCTAGTCACCCTTAGGTTTGGACTCTCCAGTGTTAAGATAAAGTGTTTTTGGAATATGTCCATTTGCTCTGGGAGGGTTGGTAGGTCCATAATCACTTCAGTTACCAAGTATGAATAAGGTGTCAGGGCTCTGGAGCTTTGTAGACAGATTAAGATGGCAAAGAGGACCACATCAGCCCCTCTACTGTCTTCCCACTCTCCCCAGAGAGGGTCCCTAAGCGAACTAGGCTGTGAGGCATCATGAATCTTTCTCCCTAACATTGACAGTGAAATGGTGAGAATGGTCAGCACCTCCACTCCCAGTGGACTTCATGCAGCATGGGATTTGTCCCCCCATTTAAAACCTCTTTCCAGTCCTTTCAGATGGGTTCAGAGGGAATTAATCTTGGATCCAATATTGGAAAGTGCCTCTGTTTTCAGAGGCCCCTGGACTGTGCAAGTGCGCGATGCCCCTTCAGAAAAGGGGTGATGGCCACCTCTTCTGCTTTCAACCAATCTTGGCAGCCACATGGTTTTCATTAGTCTGGAGAGCACAGCACAGGAAAGATAGTTCTGGGGGAAGGAGCACAGCGCTTGTAGGCCAAGGTCAGGTGCCTAGCCTCAAAGACTAGTGGGCCGGCTCTGAATTTCCAGAGCCTCTAGTAGTTGAGCCTTGCTACTGGCCAAGGGTAAGAGGGGCTATGAGTCTGGTACAGTGCCAGTAGCCCAGCAGGATGGTACCTTCTGTGCAGGATCACAGTGATGGGATTTTCCCCAAAATAATTATAGTTAGAGCAATAAATGTATCTCTTTTGCAAAACTGTGGCATATTTAGTAGCAAAACTGGATCTTTATAATAATAAACTCTCATACTTGTATAGCACTTTGCAGTTTTTCAAGCATTCTGTGTACATTTAGCCCACTTGTTCCTGTGAGTTGGCAGGATGTGAGCCCTAAGGAAATTCAATAACTCACCTGAGATCCCAGGGTAAAGCATAGAGCTGGAACTCAGGCCTTCCAACTGGTTCCTGGTTCAGGGTTCTTTCTACTCAACCCCGTAAGTTTCTTCAAATCCTTGTCATCCTCCATGTAAGCATCAGTTTTTCCTAACCAGAACTGAAAAACAATAGTTCTTCCAAGGAAATTTCTAGGCAGAACTGTGGCTGTATCCCATATGTCCCATTAAATAGGATTATGATTGAATTAGGGAAGATCCCACCCATGGGAGTTTTCCCCAAACCAGATAGTCAAAGGCGACAGGAAGCTGTGCTATGACAGGAAGAGTCTTCGGATGGGCCCAGGCACCTGGGCCCATGCAGTGGAGTGCTATATCAGATTGAGGTCATCTCCTGGCTTGTGCCTGCTGGCTGTCTGGAGTGTGCAGTAATTGAAAAGGCAGAATATTGCATAAATGGAAAAAACACTCCCTTTCCAGCCTGGCTCTGTAGGAGGAATGGAAGTGAAACTCTGCTCCCCATCCTTGCATACTCTTGAATCCCAAGGAGAGTTCTTTAGAGGTCAGACAAGACCAAGGGGGTCAGAGTGAAGGGGCATTTCTCCAAGAGTCAGCTCAGTGCTTGGCAGCATGAGCAGGAGCCTGTATGTAAGTCCACCTCGGGCATATGTGGAGGCTATAGGAATGGAAACTCCATTAGCAGCTGGAAGAGGAAGGAAGGAGAGAGAAATGGAATCTGAACTGTCTCACTTTGATACAATCTGCTCTGGGAGCTCTGCCTAGGGGATGGTTTTGGTTAAGCTTTCATTTTAAATGGTGAAAAATAAATACATGCAGACAAAAGTGTGTAAATGAATGTGCAACTTGACAAATTGTCAAGCAGATGCCCATGAAACCACCATCCCACTGAAGAAACGGAGCAATATCAACACCCCCAAAGCTCCCACATGCACCCTACTCACACCCCTCCTTGAGAGGAACCTCTGTCCCAATTACCTTCCTTGCTTTTTTTAATAGTTTTATCAATGATGGATAATACTCATGATGGATCCTCAAATACATTGGTTTTGCCTGTCTTTTGAACTTTAAATATATATGACTCCTACAGGATCGTGTGTGTGAATGTGTGTATGTTGAGCTTCTATCACTCAACTTAGTGTTCAATGTTTACTCATGTCATTTTTGCGTCTTATGGTTTATTCATTTTTATTTTATTGCTGTGTATTATTCTGTCATGTGAGTACACCACAATTATCCATTTACTGATGATATGTGGATAGTTTCCAAATTCATAATTCATAATAACCCCATGAATGTCTCTGTATAGGAATATCGCTGTGCATGTGCCTTGTGCATTCAAGCTTGTGTTTCCCTAACATTTGTAACTAGGAATGGGACTAGTGGCTCATTAGTCATGCTTATCTTAGAGTTCAGGGGATGAGGCCAAACTGTTTTCCCTAGTGGTAGCACAAATCTATACTCCCTTCAAGCAGAATATGAACATTCCACATACATCTTTGTCAATACTTGATATTGTCAGGTGTTCTAATTTTGTCAATTTGGACGATGTATCTTCACAGGACCATATGTACCTATTTTAGAACTGATCCAGAAAGAAGAAACACCTATGCTGGTTAGCATTCCATGAACCTTCAGTGTGGTAGGCCCAGGCTGGCCTTCTCCTGCCAGTGGCTGGCAAGGGGAAGAGGGTGCAGGAAGTATGGGTGTATATGGGAGTTGCAGTGGGTGAGTACAGAGCATAGGTACCAGGAGAGATGGGAATTCAAAGTCTAGGAGGAAAATCTGTAGCATCCAAAGGCAAAGGCAAACCTTCGTCACTGCATGCAGACCCAAATGTGACAGTGATTCACCTCAAGAAAAGACTTTCTCTTTGGTCTCAAGTGCACTCAGAGACCCAAAGACTTGTAGGTTGCCCAGTTCTAAAAATGGATTCTGAAGGCAACAGAACTAGAAGCCTGGGTTGGGCTATGACACCTAGTACCACATGCAGCTCTCAGAAGCAGACTTATTATCAAAGCAGGGAAAAAGACATGGGAACACATCACTAAAACAATCTCCTCTAATACCAAGGCTCCAGTTGGATTAAATCATTCTCATAAAAGTTGCAAATCTTGGGCTGGAAGTGTGACTCAAGTTGTAGAGTGCTTGCCTAGTAAGCACAAGGTTCTGAGTCAGTCCCTGGTACTGCAAAAACAATCAAACAAAAAAAAAAGTTGCAGATCTTTGTGAAGAACCCCCCAGCATCACACACACACACACACACACACACACACACACACACTCACTCACACACCTGCTGGATTTTGCAGGCCCTGTTTCTGAGCACCTGTCCCTGGGTGCCTGTACCTACAAACCCTGTGTGCCAGTGAACTCTGTGTGCCAGCTACAGTCTTTTCTCCAGAGAATGTTGCCTCCAAGAAAGATTTAACATCTCTGATGCGTTTTCC